TATTGATTTCAGAGAGGAAGGGAGAGGGAGAGAGAGATAGAAACATCAATGATGAGAGATTATCATTGATCGGCTGCCTCCTGCATGCCCCCTCCTAGGAATCAAGACCACAACCCAGGCATGTGCCCTTGACTGTAATCAAACCCGGGACCCTTCAGTCCACAGGGTGATGCTCTATCTACTAAGTCAAACCAGCTAGGGCTGTTAGTCATTCATTCTAAAACAAGTATACCCAAGATGTCGAAATGAAGAATGAAGTACACTATGGAGATTTCTTTGAGTCAGATATTACATGTGAGTCATCTGGGAACCTTTCCATTCAAGCTGATATTTAACCCCAATTCAGGTTCTATAATCTAAGAATAGAACATGAGCATTCCTTGCATGATTTTATAGACCATGTCTAGGACAATTTATGTGCGCAGATGGAACAGACAATCAAGTTGGGTCAAAAGTCACAATGCTCTGTTTTTTTATCTTCAGTTCATACACTTAGACAGCTCCTAGAAAAAGTGTGGCTCTTGGTTCCAAACTAGGAAATTTCTTAAAATTTTGGTCTAAAGTTGAAAAGGAAAAGGGTTGAATGTTTTTTCCCCTGTGGCTAAGATTTTAACAGATTTGGGTTAGAAAGAAAATAGGAAAGGAGAGTCAAATAGAACCCATGGAAATGGTTCTTTGGGTTTCTGACACTGAACTGTTTGACGTGTCCCCAAATCTTGATGGTAAATATGTCACAGGCATACATATGTGCATATATTTACACTCAGAGGTTCTTACTCTGAATCTTCCATGGGAAAGAGTATCTCTAAAAATTGCCTCCCAGAGCTAAAAAAATGGAACTGTGAAAATGAAACTTACTCATTCCTTGAGAAATCCAAGAGAGATGTCTCTCTGAAAGTGAGCGGAAGTTAGGTTTGACTAAATCTTCCACAGTTACTGCTGCTAAGGCATTAATACTGGAGGACACTGTGCTGTAAGGGAAAATAAGACACTTGATTTAGAATATTTAAACTTTAATAATATTTTAAATGAGAATGAGAAAGGAAAAACACATTGTTACTTCTGAAATGTAACTAGATTTCTACTATATTATTGTTAATGATCACAGCATCCTCTTCTGAAAGCTCTTATCCAACAATGATTCAGGCAACACTCATAGGCTTAGAAGTAAAAAAAAAAAAAAAAAAGGATAATTTAATATTGCTTCCATGTTGCAATTAATCCTCAGTGTCTGTGGAAAGAATTTATATAGATTATGCAATATTATTATTTTTTTAATAAATCTTTATTGTTCAGATTAGTACATTGGTTCCTCTTTTTTCCCACCATAACTCCCCTCCACCCAGTTCCCACCCCACCCTCAGCCCTCACTCCCCACCCACTGTCCTCATCCATAGGTGCACGATTATTGTCCAATCTCTTCCCGCACCCCCCACACCCCTTTCCCCCCCACAAGAATAGTCAGTCCATTCCCTTTCTATGTCGCTGATTCTATTGCAATCACCAGTTCATACTGTTCATCAGATTATTTATTCACTTGATTTTTAGATTCACTTGTTGATAGATGTGTATTTGTTGTTCATAG